ATACATTAAAACAATGAATACTGAAAACAAACAAAACGAAAAACAAAGAAAACCAGCCTGGCACCATGGGTTGACTCAGACTAATTCTCCACCTTGCAGTGCCAGCATCCCATATGGGTTCCTTTTATCCTGGCTGCTCCACTTCCCATCCAGCTCCCTGCTTATGGCCTGGGAAAGTAGCAGAAGATGGCTTCAGTCTTTGTGTCCCTGCACACCAGGGGGGGACCTAGAAGAACCTCTAGGTTCCTGACTCTGGATTGGCTCAGGTCTGGGGATACAAAAGTGTCTAGATCTGAACCAGTCAGGATCATGACTCCTGAATGAAGGAATATACCAGACTGGCATTGAGTCCTAAGATTCTTGGCACCTTTGAACTCACTTTAAAAAAAGAATGAGTTCTTTGGAAACTCTACCAACAGATCAAGATTCTGGCAATAAGCAAAGACCTAAGCAAATGGACCTAAAAACTTTTCTGAATGATCAGTTTTAACCTCGTTGAAATGTGTACCATTGTGCGTTGTAGTACAAACACTAAAATACACAATTTGCCCAAGTCTTTCCTTTATGCGTGTGATAAACAATACATTGCTTAAAGAAGAGTAGCTCCATTTAGCAATGACATTAAAAGGGAGGGCAGTTTAATGCTAACTTCCTAGGAATTGTTTCCCATTTCTTTGGTTATGATTTAGATTTTTCAATATCACACACAGCCTGAAATGGAGTTTATTCAGGCCTAACATTATAGTAAAAAGACATTAGCTTAAACAGTTTACTTCTTGAAATAGTGATCTTAAAACTTCTTCAATCCTCATCGAGTGAAATTGCTTACAGAAACACATTCAGAGGCTGGCATCATGGCTCAACAGGGCAGTGGTCTACCTCCAAGGGCTGGCAACCATCTTGGGCTCTGATTTGAGTCCTGTGTGTTCCACATCTGATCCTGCTCCCTGGTGCTGTGCCTGGAAAAGCAGCTGAGGTTAGCGCAAGGCCTTGGCCCCTGCCCTCATGTGGGAGAGTTTACAAAAGAGACTGAAATAGTGCCACATAGAAGCCAGGAATCAGAACTCCAACCTGCGAACAAACTAATTAGGAAGAGTCCAGACAGTTGAGCCTTTGCTAGCCACCTCAGAGCACACGAGTGGCATGTTGGACACCGGAGGTGATCCAAGACTCAGACCTCTCACTGGGTATCACCAAAATCGAGAGTTCGTGGGTGTGGATCAAGAATGGCCGTCCCTGTGTTTTTCATACTGATACTTGTTCATACATTTTGGGAGAAGGACACTGTATTGTGGAAATGTTCAGGGCATGGTGGGAGTCAGTGTGGCACTGGGGAAGAGAAGCCAGCAGGGCCAAGGGGCTAGTGGGCATCAGAGGGCCATGCCTGAGTTCCAGAATCTCCAGGCAACCGCTTGTTGCTAACCAACGGCCATTGTTAACTGCCTATATAAGTCCCAGCATGCCTTGCTCTGGCGACACTTTGTGGGACTGTCCGACTAACCTGGATGTGCTCTCTGAGCCCTCCAGGGCAGTTAAGTGACCCACAGCCATGTCCTCAGGGATTCCTGGCCTTGGGTTCTGGCTAGGCCATTACCTAGGACTGGCAAAGGACATTGGTGGCTATTACAAATATATACCAGAAGGCATACAGAAGAACAACATTCAAAGAGGTCAAGGTGACCTGCTGACCAGTCTCACCAGAGACCTGGAAGCATGGTGTCAGGCATGGGAGAGGCACAACAACCAGCACACTGCCATTCAGCCTACGGTACCAAAAACACTGGATGAAATCAGGAATGAATTTGGATTACTCAACACAGACTTGGCTGATGGAGACAACAAAGGAAAAGCTGGAAGGTATGTAAAGGGAGCTGACCACATCCTGGAAACCACTGGGGAGATTTCCAACAAAGAAGATCTACTCAGAGAGCTCAAGGGAGTGTTGGAGGCCTCTAATAATCTTGCCTTTCTGGATCAAAGAAAACCTGAGTCCTGGAGAGAGACACTTCAGCGTGTCCTACAAGAGAATGAAGTGCTCAAATCATCACTGGCAACAAAAGAAGAAACCATCCGGCTCCTCCAGGCCAGAATCGAGACACTATCTCATGGTATGTTGAAGAAAACCAAAGTGGAGAGAAAATATCAAGACATGTCCCTAGAACTCAAGCAAATAAAGAAGAAGGAAGATCGTCTAGAGAAGCTCATGGAAGGGAAAGAGCTCTTTCTCACACTGAAAATTCATCAGGTACGCTCCCTGCAGAGTCATCTGACAGAGATCCAGGAGGAGAACAAGACGTTGAAGCAAACCATAAAGAGGCTTCGCGAGTCAGTGTGTCTTGAACATGCGTTCAGAAAGATTGGTACACAGCCCAACATGGACAGAAACCACATTGGCCAAGAGTCAGAAGACATCGACTTGGCACAAAATGTCCAAGAGACTGATATCAGAGCCACAGTGTTCAAACAGGAGTTGGCCCAAGTCCTTGAAAATCTTGGACAATTCTCCTCAACCAAGGAAGATCTTCCAAAACACCTGAAAGATTTCCTACAGTCCTCCAATCAGGGAGGATTCACAAAAGAGTCAGCAGAGCTGACAACATCTGTTTCCTTGGGGGAGCCTGCTGAAGGCCTTGAAGAAGCCATGAAAACACTGGAACCATCTCTAGTAACCAAGGAAAGCACAGCCAGGCTCCTCAAGGAAGAAATCCCCAGAAGGCCTTCTTCAAAGCCTGACTCCACCACACTGGAGGCACAAAACCAGCAGATGTCTTCACAAATCAGACAACTGAAGAAGAACCAGGCACATCTGCAAAAATTAGTAAAAGGCAAAGATGTCTTCATGAGTGCCAAAAATAGGCAATTATGTTCTCTGAACAAACAGCTTGCAGAGAAAGAGAGAGAGAATAACACTTGGAAGAAAATCATGAGGAAACTCTGTCACTCCGCCACTGAGAACATCCCCCTGGAGACAGAGGAGGACCAAAAGTCTGCAGAACTCAGAAAACTGAAGAAGCAGCAACATGCACTAGAGAAAGTCGTGAAAGCAAAGGGGCTGGTTGTGAAAGCCAAAACTCACCAGGTCCACACACTGGAAGACACCCTTCTCAAGAAAGAGGAGGAGAACAGCCTTTTAAAGCAATCCGTGAGAAAATTAGAAGAAGCAGTGTCCACACTGCAGATGGATATAGCCAGACTGCAACAAGAACAGGAGAAAAGCCTTGAAAGAGCTCAAGAAGAGAAGAACGCATTCGAAGACACCAACATGATGATGCCCAAGTCCTTCCCAGAGAAGGAGGTGGCTGCCTGTGAACTAAGGGAGGAAGTCCCCTCTGGGGCACAGCTGCTGATAAAGAAAGAAGACACATGCCAGCAGCTATTGAGTGCCACAGAGTCCATGCTGAAGAAGAGCCCAGAGTTCACCCAGGAGAGAGAGGAAATGCTGCTGGCCACGGAACAGGATCACCTGAAGAAGTGGCCCTGCAGAGTGCAGTGAAGCATTCACAAAACGAATTAAGCCAGGAGCCTGAGAGGGACCACCAGCATCTTGCACAGTCCCAAGAGTCTCAGGTGCCTGAAGCCCTGCAGGAAGAAGATGGACAGGCTGCCATTTAATCAGAAGCAGGAGCAGAGAGCAGCTCCCTGAGCGCCCTGAGCAGCACCCCCAGTGCTGCTGGCCCTGTGATCGAGTCACCCTGTGGGGAAGCACAGATGCCATTGCCTACTCTGGCCACCTGCACTGCCAGCCTGAGTGGCCAGGCTGAGACCAAGGTGGAACCCAAGCTGCTGCCTGCTGAGCCCAGTCTCTCCACCACAGGGCACAAGAAGCTGCTTGCCACCAAGGTTCTGGGAACCGTGGTGTGGTTCAATGTCAAGGCCAGATATGGCTTCATCAGGCGCCATGATATCCAACAAGACATCTTTGTTCATCACACAGCTATTAGAAGTTACACTGGCAGGTATTACCTGCCGAGCCTAGCAGACGGTGAAATCGTGGAGTTTGATGTGGAGGAGGGCCAGAAGAATGTACAGGTGGGCAACGTCACAGGCCCCAGTGGAGTTGCAGTGAGGGGCAGCAGAAATGTGGCCCAGTGGCGCCGTTCCCACTGCTTGCCACGATGCAGGGCTCCTCAGCGCCAAATCATGCAGAGCCACATTGAGAGCTCTGGCAGCATGTATGACAACCAGGCCCAACCTTGCTGGCCCCAACGCTGCCCAAGGCTCCTGCCTTCCTACCAACCAAGACGCTACCAGCAGGATTCCAACAAACCACTGTTGGGTGAAGGGATGAAAGTTGCCCAGGGCCCAACTGCAGAAAAGCATCAAGTGCAGAGGCAAGATCAGGGTGAAAACATGCCAGGGCAGCAACTGCCTCTCAGGTATTCCCCATGCAGCCGGCCAGACAGCCTTGGACACTAAATGGCACAGAGGCCATGGCCACCCAGGGTGCTGCTGACAATATAGCTGCTCTCAAAGCACTATAGGGAAGCCCGGCTTAACATCAGCACTGCTCTCCCCTTGACTCACCAAACAACCAAGCACCCTGAAAGTCAACTCAGGACAAAAGTTTTGAGATGGAGATTGTCAACACTTATTTGATTGTTTTGTCACTTAACAAGCCTGATAGAATTGTCTACATTTGTGGCAGCTGAGTTTTATATAAGGCTCCCTGTTTGTTGTTACTCATTGAAATTTGTTCCCTCAGAACATCTATCAAGGTTTGTTACATTATTTTTAATCTATTACAGTTTTGGAATTTACAAATTGAGAATGACAACTGATGTACAACTTGTTTTTAAGAGAAGAAGCAAGTAAAAAAGAGTGGTCAACTAAAACAATTTTTCAATTGAAGACATGCTAGTTAAATGTGTTAGTGAATTTGAAAATATGGAAATAATTGTTCCCTCATAAAATTTAGTGTAAGAGCACTTGAAGAGGATTTCAAAGAAGATGAGTAAAAGCACATTTAGAGTTCTCTGCCTTCAAAGAAACAGAGAAATAACCAAGTTGCTTACTGACTGATGAAGGGAAAATGTTTGCAATTTAGCCAAGAGTGTCTACAGAACTTCTTAAAGAAAATGCAGACAAAGAGTACACTATAAAACTGACAGTTGAACAAGATCTCTCAGGAGGAGGGACACACTTTCCAGAGACTCAAGAAATTCCAATTTGTATTGAAGTTGCATGTGCACAAAGTTCTAATAAAAATTTTAAACTTTCCATCGCAGTGTTTAGGTTATTTATTGAACCTGCCAATGGTCCACTCAGAAGACGCACCAGGAGCTAATTCTTGTCTGAGCGTGGGTGTGGAATGGTAGATGGAGAAGGGTTCACAGACAGTAGGAATTCATGGGGACCAAGCTTGTGCCATGACAGGTCAAGCATCCCTCACGGGCACTGTGTCTATTCCCACATAACGGGGTGATAAGTCTGATGTGAGACCAAAATTCCTATAAGGACCAGTCGGTGTTAATCTATGTTACTGGAGACTGGGTAGGAAGCAGGGCTGCTGGCATTAGAAGCAGTGGCCCTATGGAATCTTGGCCCATATAAGGCGAGGACTTCATCTGCTAGGCTACTATGTCTGGCTAAATGACTATTCTTGAAGGCAATGATAATACAGAAAGAAAAAGCTTTAGTCATGCTTTTTGTTTGGAGACAAAGATAGTGAAGTGGACTTAAAAATAAAAATCTTGGAAAGGAAGATAGCAGTGCCTATGTTTCCCCAAGTAGTATCTATTCCACTCGTGTCGTGACATGTAAATGTGTGTTTTAATATATGTATTTGTGTCTATGTGAATATACACATTTAAGATGGATTATTAAAAGTCATGACAAATTCTTAGCCTTGATATTTTAAATTTAAATATGGGATAGGCAGTTAGCACTGCTTAAATATTGTTTGGAATGCCCACAGGGATGGCAGAATACTGGTGTCAAGTATTGTCTTGGTTAGTGATAGCAGTGTCCTGCCAGGGCACACTGTGGAAGATGGAGTGATGGCTCAAGTCCCGAGGTGGAGGTCCTCCCTCCTGGCTGTGGTCTGTCCTAGGGCTGGCCCCTGTGGGCATTTGGGAAGTGAACCAGCTGATGGGCTCTCTGTCACCGTCTGCATTCTCTTAATCAGAAAGGGTTCTTTAAACTTAATGGCAATGTAGGAAGCATCTTGTAATTCAATTTTCAAGAATTTTTTGAATTACTGTTAGGCATAGTTTTTCATGGTAGTTGCCACTGTTCAAAAATAAATAAATAAATAAATTAATTAATTAAAAAAAAAGTGTTTTCACAAGACACTCTGAATGTGTTCTAATAACCGGATGGTTTCAAGGATAAAATGGTAGAATCTTTTTTGAAAAGACTTATTTATTTGTATTGGAAAGGCAGGTATATAGAGAGGAGGAGAGACAGAGAGGAAGATCTTCCGTCTGATGATTCACTCCCCAAGTGGCTGCAAAGGCTGGAGCTGAGCCAATCTGAAGTCAGGGCAAGTAGCTCTTCTGGGTTTCCCACATGGGTGCAGATTCCCAAGGCTTTGGGCCATCCTTACTGCTTTGCCAGACCAGAAGAGGGAGCTGGATGGGAAGCCAGGCTTCTGCGTTTAGAACCAGCACCCATATGGGATCCCGGCACGTGTAAGGCGAGGACTTTAAGCACTGTGTTATCGTGATGGGCTCTGAAATGATATGATCCTAAGAACTGTCTGCATTAATATAATCTAGTTACAGCAACAGAACGGCAGGAAAATGAAGTGAGAAAATGTGGTAAAATAGATCCTTTGTTTAAATAGCTCAGTTTGTCCTTTAAAAAATTGGTCTTTTTTTTTTTTTTCTAAGTATCACTTATTTCCATAGAGAGCAGTCACACTGGGGAAGAGTGATCAGTGGTTACCCTTTCCTGGGTGAAACACCAAGGTGAATGCCTGCAGCAAGCTAGGCAAGTCATGGCCAGTGAGACACTTGGGCACATGCACACCTGAGTGCTAACTTTGGATTTCTTTGTAAACTCTTGATGACAATTTGCCTATTGTTTCAATTGTAAAATGTAATCGTGTGATTTCCAAAATGGAAAACAATAGAGGGAGTGTCAAGAGTTATTTTGGTGAAAACTAGAGCTCATTTGGAAAAAATTCTTATTGGTCACAAGATAATTCAGAAGTGTAAGATTGATTCTGTATCCAGATTGTCAGCTTGCTTTCCCATGTCAAATCTTCTACTACATCTTACTTTGAAGACCACTCACTGATACTAGTGTGATTTGTTGAGAAGAACATAAACTCTAGTGAAGGGATCTATATCCAAAGAAATAGCCTCCTGGGCCAAACTGCACTTACTAACCAACATGTTTATGTTTCAAATTGTCGTTTACAAACGATTAATACAGAAGACTTTATTCTTTGCTTACCCCACAGTCATGCTCTCCTATTCTGCATTTTGTTTTGGGTGATACGCTAACATGGTGGACACACCTTTGCAACAAGGAATTATTACATGTTTAAGCCCATGTCTTTCAGGAGAGCTGTTACTGACAGTTTGAGCTGGACATTCCACCTCCTTTGGAGCTGTCACATATCTCACAGGAAATTCAGCACCCACGACCCCTGCCTCTACATGCCAGCAGCAGTTGTGGGCATTGTGGCACTACAGGTTATGCTGCTATCCCCCATTGGAGTGCCAGTTCAAGTCCCACCTCCTCTGCTTTCCATCCAGCTTCACACTAATGAGCCCAGACAGGCAGCAGGTGATGGCCTGAGCATCCGGGTTCCTGTCTTTCATCTGGAAAGAGTTCCCTGGCCCTTGGCTTTGTCCTGGACCAGGCCCAACAATTGTTAGCATTGAGGGAGTGAACAGGCAAATGCAAGACTTATATTCTACTTCCTTCCTTTCACTTTACCTTTCAAGTAAGTCGAGTTGAGGATAATGTCAACAATACATTCAGTGTTTTCTTTGATGATGAAATGGAAATCACAAAACAAGCAACCTAGTTTTGTACCTTGAGAAGTATGGATGGACATCACCAGAGTACTCCTGCTTTGTTTGTGGCCACAGTCTTTCCTTGCACCTAAGGGTGTCAATGAGGCCCAGGTCTAGTGAAGGAGACTAAGGGACTTCTGCAAGGCCCCAGAGCCTGGGAGGGCACCGCTCAGCATCCGTACCTGGCAGTTACACTGCGAGTTCTACCCATCCTCTTTCAGGTTCCATCATGGAGGATGCTGTGAGCTTTTCCAAAGTGACCTACCAGGTCCCAAGGGTCTTATTTATTGTGGCTTCCAGAGCCCAGGCAAGAGTGTGACCCCCTGGTTCCCCACTGTTGAGCAGGACCGCCTCCAAGCCTTCCTCATGCTTTTGTTTGTTTCTTTCTTTCCTGTAAGATATATTTATTTATTTATTTATTTACTTATTTATTTATTTTTATTGAAAAGTGAGATACACAAATAGCAGGTGATATAGAGAGGAAGATCTTCAATGTGCTCATTCACTCCCCAAATGTCTACAATGGCTGAAGCTGAACCAGTCCAAAGCCGGGAGCCAGGACCTCTTCCGGGTCTCCATGCAGGTGTGGGATCTAAAGGCCTTGGGCAGTCTTTAATTGCTCACGTTGGCCACAAGCAGGGAGTTGGATGGAAACAGGGCAAGTCAGGATCAGAATGGGCGCTCACATGGGGTCCTATGCCTGCTAGGCATGGACCCCAGCTGCCAGGCCACCATGCTGGGCATTATTTGTTACTTGGTACCTGGCATGCTCTCCTGGCCAGGACAGCCTGCCCAAGCCTACTGGGGCCTCCATGTAGGCCTGCCCCGAGTCCTGATATTATCCCAGGCAGTCTATAGCTTGCTGGGATTCCAGAAGGGTGGCTGATATTATTTTCCCTGCCGTACTAGTGCAATTTACTGAGCTCAGTGAGTTCACTTCCAGCTCAGTGCATGCGCAGCTCACTGTTGTCTGTCCAGTTTCAAAAGCCTTTTCCACACTGTTCTAAATTGTGCCTCATGTGTCACTAGTGGAGTCCTTAATGTGCTAACCTTTAGGCCTGGGGTCCAACTGGACCTATTTTTGGTGGAAGCATCAGTTTGTTCTCAGCTTAAGGTGTGCACAGTCCTGTCTCATAGCCTTTGCTTGCCTACACAGAATGACACTCAATGCAACTCTGTTGTGGGGTCTGTGCTGTGAAAGCTACCCTGTTCCTGTATTGCCTGTTTGGGATCTGCTGCTCTGTTTCTGTTCCTGGTCAAATCAAACAAATCAGCAGGACAGACAGTTCTTTGGTTTTACGTCCTGAGCTCCCAGTGAACTCCCCTTCTCACCTGGCTGCTGGTGGAGCTCTGGCTGCTAATGGATCTGAGATCATTGCTTGCTGATTGCCACTGGAGTATTTGGTTTTTGCCACACCACACCATTGTCTCCTTGTCTCTGTTGCTTTC